AAAATGAATGTTAAAAAGAATGAGAGTTTGAAGCACATAGCAGTTACAGATGAAGATGATTGCGAGGCTACTGAAAGCGAGGAAGTTCCGGCGTTAATTCCAGCCCCACCATCTAATACAGACTGTAACAACATTACCTATGAGAATGAGACCTGTTCACACTCAAGCAATGGTAGTTTTAACTTCACTCCAGTTATAACTGACAGTTGTGAAGAAGGTCTAAAGGTTTTCAAGTGGATGATAGCCCCTTATAATTTTAATGACTTTTTTAAGTGTATCTGGGAAAAGAAACCCTTACATATTGCTAGAAATAAGCCTAAGTATTACAGTGATATTATTTCTACACCAGTCATTGATAAAATGTTACGCACTGAGAATATACAGTTCACTAAAAATATCGACATCACATCTTATGTTGATGGTAAAAGAGAAACACACAATCCTGAAGGTAGGGCTCATCCCCACCTGGTGTGGGATTTCTATTTAAATGGTTGTAGTATTAGGTTATTAAATCCCCAAACATATATATCAAAATTACATTTCCTAAATGCTACCTTACAAGAATATTTCAATTCCTTTGTTGGTGCAAATGCTTACTTAACACCTCCAGATAGTCAGGGATTTGCTCCACATTATGATGATATTGAAGCCTTCATTTTGCAAGCAGAAGGCAAAAAACATTGGCGTATATATAAGCCTCGAGAGGAAAATGAGGTATTACCTAGGGTGTCATCAAAGAACTTTTCAGAAGACGAAATAGGACAGCCAATATTAGAAGTAACATTGCATGCTGGAGACATGCTCTATTTTCCACGGGGATATATACATCAGGGTGTAACTATTGATGGGGAACATTCTCTTCATGTTACCATTAGTATGTATCAGAAGCACTCTTGGGCAGATCTATTTGAGAAAATGGTTCCTGCTGCTTTACAAATTGCAATTAATGAAAATACTGAGTTTAGACAAGGCCTACCATTTGATATCTATGACAATTTTGGAGTAGTACATTCAGATGTGAGTACACCAAGGAAAGTAGAGATTGAAGAAATTATTAAAAATCTCTTCTATAAAGTCAAAAACCACCTGCCTATAGATGAAGCTGTTGATCAGATGAGTAAAAATTATCAACATGATGCCCTACCTCCAGTTCTCAGTGACTTGGAGAAAGCATGTACAGTATATGGTGACACAGATGTGATGATTGAAAATGGCAAAGTTACAAATAGAGTAGAAATAAGCCTGGACACAAGAATAAGATTGTTAAGAAAAAATATAATAAGAATGGTAGCAGAAGAATCTATAAGATTGTATTATTATGCAGAGAATTCTTTAGAGTATCATGGAAATGAGTTAACATTCCTTGAAATTGAGGAGGAATTGGCACCTGCTATCGAAACATTGATCACTTCGTATCCAGAATATGTTACTGTTGAGAACCTTGAAGCACCCAATGACACTGACAAAATACAAATAGCTGATGCTCTGTGGGGTAGGGGTCTAATAATGACTGAATATCCTTTAGAAACTGTGTTTGATTAATCTTAATAAACTTTTTTGTGAATTAAATGTTTCATAGAAGCTAATACCATAGAAAATAAGATGCATTTACTTGCTGTATTGTTTTTCTCTAAGCAAAACTATTTATAGCAGCAAATTGATGTTTACATGATTTGTTTCAAAATAAATATAAAATAATATAATTTAATCTAAATAATATGTAACATTTTTATTTTATCAAGATTTCTATACTTATATTTGTGTCACTATATATGCACACTTGAAAGGTTCCGAAATTATTTGAAACCTTCAAATAATTTCGGAACAACAACCAAACCAAATCCATGATTGAAAGCCACCTGTAGGTGTCAACAATGAGCCTATAGATCAGAGTACCTGACCACTATGTAGAAGTTCTGGGTTTAAATCCTATTCCCCATTGCTAACATTAAAAAACAATTTATTCACATGGGGATTGGAAGTAATGAGACTTTGAAAATGGCGAGGTTAGGCTAACCGGACGGTTAGACGACTAGGTTATTCGGACATCACTGTACGCCATATCAAATAGAATAAGATCATTATATTAAAATAAATTTCTAATTTCTCTTCAGGAACAAACAATTTCTATTATTCCTGAAGAGAAATTAGAAAGCTTCTTAAGCAGGTAACTAACATGAATCTAGTATGATTTAATTTTGCTTTGCATGTATAAACTTAGCAGAAAAATTTATCTAAGAGAAAAAAATACAACTTATGACTTTTTGAATATCATTATCATAAAAATGTATAAAGCCCGAGTCAATCAAGTTTCGCTTGTTGGAATTGATGAGATCTTGACTTGGCTAGGTCAGTGAACTGAATAGGTTAGGTATGGCGTACATGGTTCAACTTGGTGAACTGTAGGAGAATGTTTAACCTCTTTCTTTGCTGCCCAGGAGTTGCGGGGAGAGATAATTTTTGTGGCGCACATCTGCAATTTTCGAGCACTTGCTTTCCGGGTTTCCACACAGACTTCTTGTGGCAAATACGACGAATATCAGTCTGTGTTCGCGCTTCCATGTTTCTGTGGAAGGGAGTTGAAATGTCTCCCATAAAGAGAAGCCACTAGTAATTTCCGTGCCCATACCATGCCATTAACCATCAGGTGGATGGTGTGCTTGCTTGTCACTCTTATTCTATATGAATAAAGCTTAAGCTTGGAGTGTACAATGTCTAATCTCATAGGGGCAACGAAGAGTAATGCCAAGACCAGCACCATTTAAATTCTATCCTGTTTCACCATCGCCGCGTATAGGCAGGGCCACGTTAATGCTTTTACACACTTCCGGGCAGGACAACTTACCTCTTTAGGCAAGGCGCACCAGATACATGTGTACCATATAAAAGAGCACTCTGTAGGTTAACATACCCCCTTTGTAGTAAGAGGTTGTATCAAATAGGCCTTGCCCACTGCTTGGGGTATTTTCTACTTATATAATATTGAAATAAAACAAGCAATAGTATATAAAGTATCAAATTTTTTCAAGTTTTCAACTCATCAGGAAGTTAGTTTAAAATCAATTACTAAATACCACCTGGAATGACAGACAAACAAGTGACTTAATAAAAACATGGTAAAATTTATGAGTAGTTGAGCATCTAAATAATTTTTTATATTTTCAAATACCTACAAATTATTACACAGAAGTTGAGAACACAGTTTTATACTCGCAAATGTGTGTATCATCTATGCACACTTCTAATTATTTTATTATACTACACCCAAGTTTTCACATTGTTACACTATTTTCATGTACATAATATATCCAATTGTCTGTTGCGATCAAAGTAGCTGAGTAGTGTTTTCTTCCAACTTATGCACAGCTCAGTATGAAAATTCTCAAGATGCACTAATACATTAAGATATTTTTATTTGTTTAGCAATTTAATTGGATAAACAGAAAATGTTGTAAATTACAAAACATTGGTTAATATATTGTGAAGTTTAGAGTATGGAAACTCAAAAACAAAAAGTCTTTTTACAATTTTACCATGTTTAGATTGTTCAGATAAAAAATTAGTTGCTATTATAGCATAATATATAGGTAATACCTATTATACTGGATTACCTTTTTACAGTCTGTTAAAAAATAGGTTGTAACATGTGAACGGAGTAGAAGCCTATGGTACTGATATTTTACAAAAAATAAAAACAAAAATTTTGAATTAAATAAATAGATCAATTTATTAAAATCTATCGAAATTCAAATCATATCCACCCTAGCCTGTAACCCCAGCAAAGTGACAAGTTCAAAGATGCATACTAAATTTATTGTTTTATTGCCCTTCGTAAAGTAGGGTGGTTATGATTTGAATTTTGATAGAATTTAATTAATTTATTTTATCATTTTTGTTATTTTTGTAAAATATCAGTTCCATAGGCTTCTACTTGGGTCACATGTTACACCCTATTTTTTCAGATGGTAAAAAAAGTCATAAAGTATACATATCCAACATACTGATAACACTGAGGTAACAATTTGGACATATTTGTATTTCTAGTTGAACAATTGATATTTGTTGGATATATATTACCAAAAAATACCACAATAATGACACTTAGTTATTTAAGGTAAAGGGCAAGATTATATACACTGTACAAGTTTCTTGCCTGTTGTGTACAATAATGCTAAAGCAATAAATATCATCCACCATAAATAACGTAATTACCTTTCTCTAAAGGCATGTTGAAGTCAAAACTATCATTAGTGTAAACAGCAAATAACAAAACTCACTTATTTAAAACAACATTCAATATTGAATGTAAAACTTACGTCCCTAAATAATAAAAATGCTTAAAGCAACTCATCAAAAATGATACAAGCATGGAGACATAAGTAAGGGTCTTTATTTTTAGTCACTATTAGAAAGATGCTGCGTCTGATTTGTTTCCCTCAATCGCTTCTTACAACACCCACAAGATGATATGGGGTGGTGGATATTCTTACAACACCCACAAGATGATATGGGGGGTGGATATTCTTACACCGCCACTTCACAGTAATCCATGTCATAGTCATGAGATTACTGTATTGTCTTGGGTTTTTAATATGTCTGCATAACTTAATTTACATTTGGAAATGGGAGAAAACTAAATTAAAAAATTTAACTACATACTGGCAGTTCAAAATGATGTGTTATATAAATAATATTATAAAATATAAGTCAAAAGAGCAATTTCATAATGCATCTGTTAAGATTAACAATTAAATGATACATAAGAGGAAAATTTAAAAAATATATATAATAAACGCAAAAGTAGGGTTACAGAGATTAGTTTACAGATAAAAACTACTGTTCACCATATTCTTAGAATCTGATTACAAGCTTAGACCTAATATTATATAAACTATGACATATTGATCACTTTATGAAATATTAAATATTATCCAAACAATGATTAACTGCAAAATAACCACTAAACAAAGGCACCATTTAAATACTCTAAAGCAGTAGCTTTATGCTGCAATTTCAATTTTTTGTTCTTGTGCTTCCATGTTTAATTTAGATGCACATTTAAATCTTTTCTTCACTTCATTGTTCAAGCCTTCTCTATTTCTTGCTATCTCTATAGCATAAAATTGTACTCGAGGCACTAAGATAGTGTTTTGTTCTGAATAATCTCCATTAGTGTCTGCTCTCAATAAAGTGCCGAAACTATAGTCTTCAACAATATTTTTGAATTTTTCACAGAACACCCTCCATCTAGCTTTGTTAACATTATTCTTTATTTCACTTTCATTTATGCATCTAACATCTAAGTCAGGAAAATCTTGTCTGAATTGAGTATATATTAAGTCATCATGAGGTGTTAGACGAAGCAATCTTGTGTCTACAGAGCAGAGAACCTGTAAATTGTTTTGATACGTCGATAAACCAAGTAACCACTTAGTTTCAGTAAGCATATAAAATTAAATATATCTAGAGTACTTAATCTATGTTTATGCTAATACTACAATAAACTATTATGAAATATATCATCATTGTCATTATTACAGTATTTCATAAGTCAAGTGCTGAATGTAGACCTCCCCCAAGGAATGCTAAGATGCATGGTCTTGAGCCACCTGCATCTTTTATTAGATTGTTACTTTTATCTAGTGGGAGGCCACTTTAAATTTCAATTACAGGTACGAGGCTGCTGCTCGAGAATCATTCTATTTTAAATTTTGAATATTAAATCATATTATTCTGATTTAGACAAACAAGTACAAATGAAGCAATTACATTTAAAGAGAGTTTTTTTTTAATTTACAACATCTAAGAAAAAATTATTAATACAAACATTAAAATATATATCGCTGTGTTCCATGGCTTTGGCCGCCCACAAATGCTCCAAGGTTTCATCGTTCCCAAATTCTTCTGCAGGCCGGGTTAAAACATCCTTAAATATACAAAAAATACTTATTATAAGAACCCAAATAGTAATCTGAGCGGTTTCGGTACGTAGGTAATAAAAGCGCTAACCATGATCAATTTTATTAGTAAATAACTTTAAAAACTTGTAAATTGTGATTTTATTATCTTTCAGAGGTAAAATTAATTATGAGTATTAGCTAAACAAAACTGTTTTTATATTAAATCACAAAACATTATTGCTAGACAGTATTAAAACAGCGATTTTTAACTGTGCACTAAATTAGGCATGTCGATCTAAAATCGATTATTTGGAGCAAATAATTTTTTAGATCGATTCGGAGCACCGCATCGATTTACTGAATTGATCCAAAAACCTCTCGAATCGGACCGATTCATCTGATTCTAGAACCAGCGATAAAATTCCCAAACTGGCTGGGGTAAGATACCGCAGTTTTTTAATTTTTTGCTGTTGGGGGACGCAAAAACAACCGATCTTCCTTGGTTGATAATTTGAACGCAATATACAACACATAACATAATCAACGCACTTTGAAAAAGTAGTTTGTTCAGAATTGTTTACTAAATCGATTCCTATAATTTTTAATATAGGTAATTTTTTATCCCAAAAATAATTAAAACCACGTAAATTACAGTCACACTAAATCTGTACAGTCAAAATAAATTGAAATGGACCGTAACTTAAGGCAATAAGACTTTTAAGACTTTTAAGGGTGCAGTTTTATTTGTGTTATTACTAATTCTGTCATTCAATAAAAATAAAGAAAAATGAACTATATTTCAAGCACGTTAAAGTCTTTGCGTTCGTGGATTTGTACTGTGACCATTCTTCCGGAATTAGTATAACTAATTTGATAAATAATCAATGCATAGAAATGTCTAACTAAAAATTGAGTGTATGTATTATGGTTATAACATAATGTACTAATTGGGGCGTCTGACGGTGTGCGTTAATTATGTTACATGTTGTATATTTGAATAAAATTATATTTATGAACGCATCCAACAATATCGAAAAGTTGTCATTTCATTTTCATTTCTAAATTTCTAATTCTATTCTTACCTATGGAATGTTGGTCTAACTTAATCTGTGCTGTGAACAAAACTACATATACATAATACAATTTAATATTATAACTGTGAACCTGTTTGAACTGTGAACTTGCGAATTTACTATATTATCAAAAACATATATACTGTGAGCTGTAAGTACAGACTGAGTATTTTCTATATATCTAGATGCTGTAAATAAATATTATATGTTGAAGTTCATAGAGGTTTATAGTAAGGAAATAACCAGCATTGTGTTCGTGTAGCATTCATTTCAATTTGATAAATAGTGAGTTAATAGATTGATCGAGAAACGTACCTTGCAATTTGCCCTTTTGTTAAAGTATTGTTGTTGTTTTTAGCCTAAAATGTCAAATAAAAGTGGAATCACTTTGTAAAAAAGGGATCGAGTGGCGAACCACCCCCAAAACAAGCGTTTCAAGCTTACCAGGAGAGGTTAAAAGGAATATTAGTAATTTTAATTAATAAGATTACTAATATTTTAATTTCAAAAAATATTAAAGTTCAATTAAAGAAAAAATCGCAAATTCTTGAAATTTCATATTTGAATATGTCGCGATTAATCGAAAATCGATCTTTTAATCCACGATTTAATCGATAATCGAATCTAGTATCTTCAATTTGAATCGATTCAGAGATCGATTTTTTAAGAGTGAATCGACATGCCTACACTAAATAACCTAAAAATACATAAATTCAAAACAGACTAACAAGGTTTTTTTTATTAACTGTCTTTACGGCTTTGGGTTCTAGCCCTTCTGAGCCTAGACCAACAAAGATGAAGATCAAAGTCACAGATAAGTAAATATGTAGAAAGCTATTCAAAATGGGAGTGAGGCGTATTTATCGCAACAGATGAAAGGAACAGGTACTTTCAAATAACAGACCGTAACTGTGACAAACTTAGATCGTTGTGACAAACAAACTGAAAGAACACCTCCTGTTCCACGAGATAACAAATCATTAAAAGAGAGTCACAAGTTTTTTTCCAATCATACATATGACAGTTACGCTCTCACAGGATACCAGCGTAAAATAGCAGCTTAATACTTCTGTGTTTCGTACGTGGAGTGTAGGGATCCGGAGATCTTTTCTTTACTGGAAACGAGGCATTCCATCTTAGTCTTCATTGGTGACAACGCATCTGTTTCATTCATTTCATCGGTTTGATTCTTATTCGTGGATAAATAGTGTGCCAAAACAATAACAATTAGGAATTTCAATACGAAATTATAGCCCATGTTAGAGTTTAGTTTTTGGATTTATTTTGTCATTTCCATTGTCACACTTAAATGACTATATTAAAGTAATTAAAAAGTATTATACTAAACAATTGACCTAATCATTAATATACTTTTCATTAATCTAAATAAAATATTAAGTACTTCACGTAATAACTTAAAGAGGGTATATAAGCCTTGCAGCTTATCGTTTTATAACGTCTAAGTTCCTAATAGTATTTAGCTTCGGTATTAAGAATCATTACCACCACGACATAAACACACTAGGGATGTGAAAAAATTATTTTAGAGAGATATTTTATAGGTCCAGATACCGTGTTGCTAACAAATCGCATCGTTCATAGTGACGCCAGTCATTGATTCATGTGTGCGTGAGTACCACGTGATGCGCATATCTTACGTACCATGCCTGCATTAATGTGCGTGACTTCGGTAATAATAGTGCGAATCGATTACCCAAAAATGTGGGAGATTTTATATTTCATTGATATTGACGTACCTATTGATTCTACGAATATAAAATGTGTGTGCGAGGCGTGTGCATTTTTGTGCGTGTGCATGGGGATATAATAATAATAATAATAATTTCATTTAGCGGGAGACGCCCTAAAAATGGATGATGGAATTAAATAGAACGCGCAAAGGGCCGCTGCCTGGAGGTCGCCAGGGCACGTCTGGAGCTGGCGCTAGACGCGACAGCATGCGAACCGCCAGCCGAGCACGAGGTGCTGCACGACGACCCAGCAGCCCCTCGCATCCATCATCCCCACCAGCTGGCTTGGTGTCGGCAGGGTCTTCGCGGGCCCAGCAATCGGCACCCGCCTCTGGTGGAGTACGCCGCATGCGTTGGACAACCCAGATGCACAGCAACGCATTGCGGGCGTATTTTAGGGCGAAAAGGGGGAGAAACTGGAGGTTTTGCGTATCGGGCAAGGATGCATCGACTTTTTGCTGAGCTGGAGCCATCTGTAACCGTCACCGAGCAAAACCTGGCAGACCGAGTTCGGTATATTTTGCGCTCAAATACATTTGAGTTACCGAACTTTAACGGCTACGACGTGAGGCTGTTCCTTCATCGGGTGAAAATGCTGCAGCTGAGAATGCGGCGCCATAACTTGATGAGCAAACGGCAAATGTGGATGCCGCCGTGAACACGCCAGTTGTGGTTGATTCAAACGATGACGGAACAGTCGTCCAGGAACTGGAACTAGAGCAAATGAGGAGTACATTGGAAGAGGCGATTGTGGAAACACGCAGTACGCCTCTCGAAAATCGACGGCGACTTCCCCGCTTATCCCTAAGCAAGCGGAATCGGGCTGTCATGAGCGCTCTGAACCCAATGCTGGTTACCTATTTGGAAGCCAGCAGGGACCTTTGCGAGACGGACTCAATTTTCTTTTTGGCGCCGCACTGGCAGTCTGCCGTATTATAGGCGCCAAAATTTCGAAGGCTGGACACGCTACTGGACAAAGTAGTGCTATCCCAGCCTGGAGAATAAGAATTGAAGAACGTATCGCAAAGGCTAGGACCCTCATCGGCAGACCGATATGCTTCAGGTCAGGCAATACCAGGCCAAGGATTGTGCACACCGTCAGGATGGCGTTTGCTGGGATAAATGTTAGTTTTTCCCAGCCGGATATAGTGCAAAAACTGACGGAGCGCATAGACGACCTGAAGCAAAGAATCGCTGCTTGGGAAAAGCGGATTCGGCGATATATCGAGAGGTCGACACGGTTCAACCAGAATCGTCTCTTCCAGAGTGATCAGAAAAGGCTCTATAAATCATTGGAGCAACCAATAGTAAGTGGAACGGGTCCAGCACCAAATCAGGCTGACACGGTCGTATTCTGGCGCAGCCTGTGGTCAAAGCCCGTAAAGCACAACGAGGGTCCTTGGACGGAAGTTGTAGCGAGTCAGTGTGCGGGTATTACGCCCATGGACCCCGTCATCATAACGCCGGATGACGTAGCTGAGGCGGTCCGTAGGGCCCCGAACTGAAAAAGTCCGGGGCTTGACGTGCTGCATCACTACTGGCTGAAGGGGTTCATGGTGTGTCACGCTGTGCTCACCCGACAGTTGCAAGAGGCTCTCGATCAGAAGTCGCTCCCGAGCCTCTTCAGTACTGGGATCAGTCACTTGATTCCTAAAGATCAGGATACCACAGACCCGAGCAAATACCGCCCAATCATGTGTCTACCCACCATATATAAGACACTAACATCCATTTTGAGCGCGAGAATCGCTCGTCACCTGGACTCAAATCAGGTGATGTCGCGCGCTCAAAATGGATGTCGGGGCGGCGGTCGTGGAACCAAGGAACCACTCCTCATTGACGCGGTCATTGGCAAAGTGGTGAAACGCAACCGTCGGAACTTCTCCGCCGCCTGGATAGATTACAGAGAGGCATTTGACTCGGTGTCCCATACATGGCTAAAGAGGGTCCTCGAGCTGTACAAGATTGACTGTACAGTTCGAGACTTCTTCGAGCAGTGTATGGGGCAGTGGAGTACGATCCTCTGTCATCTAGGCGAGCGGATGACGGCTGCGGAAAGCCGCATAAGGATAAGAAGGGGTATATTCCAGGGTGACTGTCTGAGTCCAATCTGGTTCTGCCTCTCTTTGAACCCTCTCAGTACTTTACTGGAATGCTCCGGGAGGGGATTTCAGCTTCGGAAATGAGGTACAAAAGTGACCCACCTTTTCTACATGGATGACCTCAAATTATTCGCCTTCAGTCGCTCCCATCTTACGGAATTGCTAAACATCACTTGTGAATTTAGCAATTCTATTAGAATGGAGCTGGGGACGGATAAGTGTGCGGTCCTCCATGTTGAAAGGGGAAGGGTTTGCGACGTGTTTTATGCACGCTTGACCAAAATGCTTAATAGCCTTTTGTCCGGTGTGAATAAGACACATTCATATAACAGTTGGGTCATGCCTGTCCTCATGTATACCTTTGGCATACTCAGGTGGACTCAGACTGAACTTAACGCCCTGGATAGAAAAATCCGCACTACAATGATGTCCCATAGGATGCATCATCCGAGATCGTCGGTAATGAGGCTGTACTTGCCGCGAAAGCATGGTGGGCGTGGCTTCCTGAGTGCGCTCACCATGCATAATCGCGAAGTGTGCAGCCTCCGTCATTACTTCCTGGCGAGATCGGATGATCCATTCTATAATGACGTCAATTCTAGTGATAAAGGACTTACCCCTCTATCCTTAGCCAACGAGCAATGGCAAGACCCGGCAGTATAGAGCATTTCCGACCGGGAGACCGTATGGAAGGAGAAGGAGCTCCATGGAAGGTACTACAGGGCTTTACATGAGCCTCACGTAGATACAGCCGCCTCCCTCAACTGGCTACGTTTCGGTGACCTCTTCGGGGATACCGAGGGTTTTGTCTGTGCAATACAGGATCATGTTATTAAAACCAACAACTATCGGAGATACATCCTAAAGGATGGCACTGTCGACGTCTGTCGAGCTTGTCGCCATCCCATGGAGTCACTTAGGCATGTCATCTCCAGTTAGCTACCGTGGGTAAATCTTTGTTTCAGAGAGCACGAGGGATCTGTGACAGTAAACACCTGGCTGCCGAGCTCCAACACGTCAAGCAAGTTTTGCATGACAACAAGCTTCGGGTTCCGCGCCTACGTCACAGAGAACGAGTGAAGCCGGCCACAGTCGAGCGTGTACCTGCTGTACTGCCATATGTTAGAGGAGTCATTGACAAGATTGGCTACGTCTTGAAGAGCGCTTCCATCAAAACATACTTCAAGCCGCCGAAGAAGATTGGTCAGTTTTTACCATCAGTCAAGTGTAACGTCCCTCTGCAAGATGCAGGAGTGTACAAGCTTGATTGTGAATGTGGTCTCTCCTACATAGGACAAACTAAAAGATCAATTAAAACCCGCGTTAAATAACATATAGCTGATGTGAAGAATCGACGGTCCGGGAAGTCTGCAGTCTGTGAACACGTACAGGATCGCCCCCGTCACTATATCAGATTTGATAGACCACAAATCCTCGCTAAAGAACACCGATTCCTTCCAAGGATGATTCGCGAGGCTATTGAAATCAAAAAACATCCTAATTTCAATAGAGAAGATGGCTGGGTGCTACCATCTGCTTGGGATCCTATAATAAATAAAATTAAATCCCAACCCAAGCATACAACTGCAAGACTTCATGATACCATAAGTTCATACTGTGTAAATCGGAACAAAAGTTAAATTTTAATCTATGGTAACCGCAGTTAACTATGACATCTGGACGTTGAACATCTCAGTCCTTCCCGTGACCATGGGTGCTGTAAAGCTCTCGAAACGTCGGATATTTAAAAAGTTAAATATACGCGATAAATTCCGTAAAAACTAGTATCATTTCAATGTGTAGTGTTCGCGTAAATATAAGAAACCGTTATGTCATCTCCGGTTGTTCGGCGCTTTCTAACTCTGAGTACTTGCACAGGCACAACCTAGTAGCCAGAATTCTACACCAGGGGTTCGCTCTGAAATACGGTCTCGTGGACCGAAAATTGCCGTATTACAAGTACTTGGCGGAAGCTGTGCTCGAAAATGACCGCGCCATGCTCAACTGGGACCGGGCCATCATCACAGACAGGACTATTCTTCCGAATAAGCCTGATATTATGCTGATGGACCGAGCACAGTCAAGGTTATTTTTGATCGACATTACCATTCCGTATGACGTGAACCTCTTGAAAGCCGAAACAGAGAAACGAACAAAATATCTGGACCTGGCTCACGAGGTGACCGACATGTGGGGTGGTATGCCGACCGAAATTATTCCTGTAGTCGACTCTGCGAATGGGCTAATCCCAGTCAGCCTCTCGGGTCATCTGAGGCGACTAGGACTCCGTGACGGACCGCTCCGGGCTCAAATGCAGAAGGCGGTGCTCCTCGATACCGCCCGCATCGTCCGCCGGTTTCTTTCCCTTTCCCCCTAACCCTCGGCCGTTTGGTCTCCCCTGCCGAGGGCCTCCATCTGGTTGGGCTTTTATTTATTTATGTATTTTTATATTTATTTTATGTTATTGATATTTATGTATATTTATCTTTTCATTTTCATTTATAATTATATATTTATAGAACCCAACCAGATGAGAAAACTATATAGATACCCCAAAATAATAATAATAATAAGTGAGGCCATTCCCTCATCGAATGAATTGGCTACTATTGGAGATGCGGCTCCTCAGGCGACAGACCAGCTGCCACGCGTAGAAGCCGCCGTGGATCTTCCAGTTGTGGTTGATTCAGACGATGATGAAATGGTCTCCCACGAACTAGAGCAAATGAGGAGTATATTGGAAGAGGCGATTTTGGAAACGCGCAGCATGCCTCTCGAAAATCGACCGCGACTTCCCCGCATACCCCTAAGCAAGCGAAGTCGGGCTGTCGTGAGGGCTCTTAACCCAATTCTGGTAACCTTTTTGGAAGCCAGCCGGGACCTTTGCGAGACGGACTCAGTTCTTTTTGGCGCTGCAGTGGCAGCTTGCCGTATTATTGGCGCCAAAATTCCCATGGCTGGACGCGCTACTAAACAAAGTAGCGCCATCCCAGTCTGGAGAAAAAGAATTGAGGACCGTATCGCAAAGGCAAGGGCCCTTATCGGCAGACAGATAAGCTTCAGGTCGGGTAATAATAGACCGAGGGTTGTGCGCACCGTTAGAATGGCGTTTGCTGGGACAAATATCAGTTTGTCCCAGCCGGATATCTCGCAGAAACTAACGGAGCGCATAGACGACCTGAAGCAAAAGATTGCTGCTTGGGGGAAGCGGATTCGCCGATTTACCGAGAGGTCAAAGCGGTTCAACCAGAATCCTCTCTTCCAGAGTGATCAGAAGAGGCTCTACAAATCATTGGAGCGACCAGAGGTATATGAAGCGGGCCCAGGACCGGATCAGGCTAACACTGTCGCATTTTGGCGTGGCCTTTGGTCAGAGCCCGTAAACCACAGCGAGGGCCCTTGGATGGAAGTTGTTGCGAGTCTGTGTGAGAGTATTACACGCCCATGGACCCCGTCAACATAACGCCGGATGACGTAGCTGAGGCGGTCCGTATAGCCCCGAACTGGAAAAGTCCGGGACTTGACGGACTGCATCACTACTGGCTGAAGGGGTTCATGCTGTGTCACGCTGTGCTCGCCCGTCAGTTTCAAGAGGCTCTCAACCAGAAGTCGCTCCCTAGCCTCTTCACTACTGGGATCACTCATTTGGTTCCTCCAAGTTACCACAGACCCGAGCAAATACCGCCCCATTACGTGTCTACCCACCATATATAAGACACTGACATCTATTTTGAGCGCGAGAATCACTCGTCACCTGGAGCTAAATCAGGTGATGTCACGCGCTCAAAATGGATGTCGGGACGGTGGTCGTGGAACTAAGGAACCACTCCTCATTGACGCGGTCATTGGCAAAGTGGTGAAACGCAACCGTCGGAACTTCTCCGCCGCCTGGATAGACTACAGAAAGGCATTCGACTCGGTGCCCCATACACTAAAGAGAGTCCTCGAGCTGTACAAGATAGACTGTACAGTGAGAGACTTCCTCGAGCAGTGTATGGGGCAGTGGAGTACGATCCTTTGTCATCTGGGTGAGCGGATGATGGCTGCGGAGAACCAAATAAGGATAAGAAGGGGTATCTTCCAGGTCGATTATCTGAGTCCAATCTGGTTTTGCCTCTCCCTGAACCCTCTTAGTACCTTACTGGAGGAATCTGGGAGAGGATTTCAGCTACGGAAAGGAGGGACAAAAGTGAACCACCTTTTCTATATGGATGACCTCAAATTATTCGCCTCCAGTCGCTCCCATCTTATGGAATTGCTAAACATCACTTGTGAATTTAGCAATTCCATTGGAATGGAGCTGGGGACGGATAAGTGTGCGGTCCTCCATGTTGAAAGGGGAAGGGTTGCTAACTCTGAGGGCATAGATTTATCTATGCCCGTCAACTTAAGGACCCTTTCCGAGGCTGAAACATACCGATACCTGGGTATGTCACAGAACATCGGTGTCGATGAGGCTGGTATGAAACAGTCAGTTTGCGACGTGTTTTATGCATGCTTGACCAAAGTGCTTAATAGCCTTTTGTCCGGTGTGAATAAGACACACGCATATAACGGTTGGGTCATGCCTGTTCTTATGTATACATTTGGCATACTCAGGTGGACTCAGACTGAACTTAACGCACTGGATAGAAAAGTCCGCACTACAATGATGTCCCATAGGACGCATCATCCGAGATCGTCGGTAATGAGGCTGTACTTGCCGCGAAAGCATGGTGGGCGTGGCTTTCTGAGCACGCTCACCATGCATAATCAAAAAGTGTGCAGCCTCCGTCATTACTTCCTGGTGAGATTGGATGATCCATTTTATAATGACATCATTTCTAGTGATAAAGGGCTTACCCCCTCTATCCTTAGCCAACGAGCAATGGCAGGACCCAGCAGTGCTTACCATTTCCGACCGGGAGACCGTATGGAAGGAGAAGGAGCTCCACGGGAGGTACTACAGGGCTCTACATGAGCCCTTCGTAGATACAGTCGCCTCCCTCAACTGGCTACGTTTCGGTGACCTCTTCGGGGAAACCGAGGGTTTTGTCTGTGCAATACAGGATCAGGTTATTAAGACCAACAACTATCGGAGATACATCCTAAAGGATGGCACCGTCGACGTCTGTCGAGCTTGTCGCCATCCCGGGGAGTCACTTAGGCATGTCATCTCCGGTTGTTCGGCGCTTTCTAACTCTGAGTACTTGCACAAGCACAACCTAGTAGCCAGAATTCTACACCAGGAGCTCACTCTAAAATACGGTCTCGTGGACCGGAAATTGCCGTATTACAAGTACTTGCCGGAAGCCGTGCTCGAAAATGACCCCGCCAGGCTCTACTGGGACCGGTCCATCATCACAGACAGGACTATTCTTGCGAATAAACCTGATATTGTGCTGATGGACAACAGTCAAGGATATTTTTGGTCGACATTACCATTCCGTATGACGAGAACCTCGTGAAAGCCGAAACAGATAAGGGAACAAAATATCTGGACCTGGCTCACGAGGTGACCGACATGTGGGGTTGTCGGCCGACCGAAATTATTCCTGTAGTCGTCTCTGCGAATGGCCTAATCCCAGTCAGCCTCTCGGGTCATCTGAGGCGACTGGGACTCCTTGACGGACCGCTCCGGGCTCAAATGCAGAAGGCGGTACTCCTCGATACCGCCCGCATCGTCCGCCGGTTTCTTTCCCTTTCCTCCTTACCCTAGGCCGTTTGGTCTCTCCTGCCGAGGGCTTCCATCTGGTTGGATCATATTTATTTATGTATCTTTTGTATTTATTTTATTTTATGGATATTTATGTACATTTATCTTTTCATTTTAACTTAAAATTATATATTTATAGAACCCAACCAGATGAGAAAATTATATAGATACCACAATAATAATAATAATAACGCTGACGTTGCGCTGTGTTGACGTAGCTGTTTTGTCAGTTAAATGTTAAGTGACTAAACTGCTACGTCAACGCAGTCAGTCAGCGCTTTGCGAGAGGTGTGAGCACCGTGCCTCGGCAGAATTTAGGGTGCAAAGGCCCGTTTGTGCTTATGGCCGTACACGATACGGTGCCGGGCATGGGCGTCTCCCGTTAATGGACGCCCAAACCATGGATGATGGAAAAAAAGATAGTGCGCAAAGGGCCGCTGCCTGGAGGTCGCCAGGGCGCGTCTGGAGCTGGCGCTGGACGCGACAGCATGCAGGCCGCCAGCCGAGCGCAGGGTGCTGCAAGACCACCAACAGCCCCCCTATCCATCATCCCCACCAGAAGGCTTGATGTCGGCTGGGTCTTCTCGGACTCAGCAAGCGGCACCCGCCGCTGGTGGAGCACGTCGCATGCGTTGGTTACAATTAATGAACGCAAACGCACTGCGGGCGTACTTTAGGGCAAAAGGGGAAGAAACTGGATGTTTGGCGGATCGGGCTCGGATGCATCGCTTTTTTGCAGAGCTGGAGCCATATCTATCCGTCACTGAGCAAAACCTGGCAGACCGAGTTCGGTGCATCCTGCGCTCCAACATATTTGGTGACGCCGAACTCTAACGACTACGACGTGAGGCTGTTCCCTCATCGAAAGGAAATGCTACGGTTGGGAATGAGGTGCCGCTAGATGCGCAGCTAACTGCATATGTGGATTCTGCCGTCAACATTCCATTTGTGGTTAATTCAGACGATGATGGAATAGTCTCCCACGAACTAGAGAAAATTAGGAGCATATTGGAAGAGTTGATGCTGGAAACGCGCAGCATGCCTCTCGAAAATCGACCGCGACTTCCCCGCATATCCCTTAGCAAGCGGAATCGGGCTGTCGTGCGGGCTCTTAACCCAATTCTGGTGACCTATTTGGAAGCAAGTTGGGACCTTTGCGAGACGGACTTAATTTTCTTTGGCGCCGCACTGGCAGTTTGCCGTATTATTGGCGCCAAACTTCCCATGGCTGGACGTGCTACAACAAAGTAACGCCATCCCAACCTGGAGAAAAAGAATTGAGGACCATGTCGCAAAGGCAAGGGTCCTTATTGGCAGACTGACAAGCTTCAGATCGGGTAATAATAGACCGAGGGTTGTGCGCACCGTTAGAATGACGTTTGCTGGGACAAATATCAGTTTGTCCCAGCCGGATATCACGCAGAAACTAACGGAGCGCTTAGACGACCTGAAGCAAAAGATCGCTGCTTGCGGGAAGCGGATCCGGCGATTTACCGAGAGGTCAAAGAGGTTCAACCAGAATTGTCTCTTCCAGAGGTATCAGAAGAGGCTCTATAAATCATTGGAGCGACCAGAGGTATGTGGAGCGGGCCCAGGACCGGATCAGGCTAACACTGTCGCATTTTGGCGTGGCCTGTTGTCAGAGCCCGTAAACCACAGCGAGGGCCCTTGGATGGAAGTTGTTGCGAGTCAGTGTGAGAGTATTACGCCCATGGACCCCGTCATCATAACGCCGGACGACGTGGATGAGGCGGATTGTAGGGCTCCGAACGGGAAAAGTCCGGGGCTCGACGGGCTGCATCATTACTGGCTGAAGGGGTTCGTAGTGTGTCACGCTGTGCTCGCCAGACAGTTTCAAGAGGCTCTCGATCAGAAGTCGCTCCCGAGCCTCTTCAGTACTGGGATCACTCACTTGATTCCTAAAGATCAGGATACCACAGACCCGAGCAAATACCGCCCAATCACGTGTCTACCCACCATATATAAGACACTGACATCCATTTTGAGCGCGAGAATCACTCGTCACTTCGAGCTAAATAGGGTGATGTCACGTGCTCAAAATGGATGTCGGGGTGGTGTTCGTGGAACCAAGGAACCACTCCTCATTGAGGCGGTCATTGGCAAAGTGGTGAAACGCAACCGTCGGAACTTCTCCGCCGCCTCGAGAGACTACAGAAAAGCATTCGACTCGGTGCCCCATACATGGCTAAAGAGAGTCCTCGAGCTGTACAAGATAGACTGTACTGTTAGAGACTTCCTCGAGCAGTGTATGGGGCAGTGGAGTTCGATCCTTTGTCATCTGGGCGAGCGGATGATGACTGCGGAGAACCACATAAGGATAAGAAGGGGCATCTTCCAGGGCCTATGTCTGAGTCCAATCTGGTTCTGCCTCTCTTTGAACCCTCTCAGTACCTTACTGGAGGGCTCCGGGAGGGGATTTCAGCTTCGGAAAGGAGATACAAAAGTAACCTACTTTTCTATATGGACGACCTCAAGTTATTCGCTTCCAGTCGCTCCCATCTTATGGAATTGCTAAACATCACTTGTGAATTTAGCAATTCCATTGGAATGGAGCTGGGAACGGATAAGTGTGCGGTCCTCCATGTTGAAAGAGGAAGGGTTGCTAACTCTGAGGGCATATATTTATCTATGCCCGTCAACTTAAGAACCCCTTCCGAGGCTGAATCATACCGATACCTGGGTATGTCACAGGACATCGGTATCGATGAGGCTGGTATGAAACAGTCAGTTTGCGACGTGTTTTATGCACGCTTGACCAAAGTGCTTAACAGCCTTTTGTCCGGTGTGAATAAGACACACGCATATAACGGTTGGGTCATGCCTGTCCCCATGTATACCTTTGGCATACTCAAGTGGACTCAGACCGAACTTAACGCCCTGGATAGAAAAGTCTGCACTACAATGACGTCCCATAGGATGCATCATCCGAGATCTTTGGTAATGAGGCTGTACTTGCCGCTAAAGCATGGTGGGCGTGGCTTCCTAAGCGCGCTCACTATGCATAATCGCGAAGTGTGCAGCCTCCGTGGTTACGTCCTGGCGAGATCGGATGATCCATTCTATAAGGACGTCATTTCTTGTGATAAAGGACTTACCCCTCTATTCTTAGCCAACGGTCAATGGCAAGACCCGACAGTGCAGAGCATTTCCGACCGGGAGACCCTATGGATGGAGAAGGAGCTCCACGGGATATTCTACAAGGCTCTACATGAGCATTTCGTAGACACAGTAGCCTCCCTCCACTGGCTACGCTTTGGTGACCTCTTCGGGGAAACAGAGGGTTTTGTCTGTGCAATACAAAATCAGGTTATTAAGACCAACAACTATCGGAGGTACATCCTAAAGGATGGCACCGTCGACATCTGTCGAGCTTGTCGCCATCCCGGTGAGTCACTTAGGCATATCATCTCCGGTTGTTCGGCGCTTTCTAACTCTGAGTACTTGCACAGACACAACCTAGTAGCCAGAATTCTTCACCAGGAGCTTGCTCTGAAATACGGTCTCTTGGCTCGGAAATTGACGTATTACAAGTACTTGCCGGAAGCCGTGCTCGAAAATGATCGTGCCAGGATCTATTGGGACCGGGCCATCATCACAGACAGGATTATCCATGCGAATAAGCCTGATATTGTGCTGATGGACCAGGCACAGTCAAGGATATTTTTGGTCGAATTTACCATTCCGTATTACGAGAACCTCGAGAAAGCCGAAACAGATAAACGAACAAAATATCTAGCCTTGCTCACGAGGTGACCGACATGTGGGGTGGTCTGCCGACCGAAATTATTCCTGTAGTCGTCTCTGCAAACGGGCTAATCCCAGTCAGCCTCTCGGGTCATCTGAGGCGGTTGGGACTACATGGCGTACCGCTCCAGGCTCAAATGCAGAAATCAGTGCTCGTCGATACCGCCCGCATCGTCCGCCGGTTTCTTTCACTTTCCCCCTAACCCTCGGCCGTTTGGTCGCCCCTGCCGAGGGCCTCCTTCTGGTTGGACTTTTATTTATTTATATATTTTTATATTTATTTAATTTTATTGATATTTATGTATATTTATTTTTCATTTCCATTTATAATTATATATTTATAGAACCCAACCAGATGAGAAAACTATATTGATACCCCCAATAATAATAATAAATACTTTTATTTCTCAAAAATTAAATATACTTGTCTTTGAGACGCCCCAGAGAGTAATTTCCATACTCGTATTGGGGAAAATGGGGATGAATAAGGATATGGTTGGTTATGTGTTTTTTATGTAGGTACTAACATCGCATTAAAATATTGAATTTTATATTATGACAACACTAGCTTTTGTTTATAGTATGTCAATTTTTTAATTTCCCCGGGAAAAATCCTAGCATATTACGTCAATTTTCAGGAAAAAACTGCGTTGATTCATAGGTCTTGAATGAAGGACAAATTCATATAAAAGACCATGTTATCCCTCGGGAACTGTTTGATTTTCCGGCATGAAAGTAGCCTATATGACTCTCCAGGTCCTATAGTATTACCATGAAAAATTCATCATTCATTAACAGCTAAACTAATAATATTCTTGTAATAATTTCAATTTGTGGTCTGCATCGAGAGTTTTGCATTCATAAAGGCATTTGCAATTAGCCTGAAAAAAAAAACAATATTAGAACCTGCTTTAGCACTTGGTACAGATTATTTAGGATGTTTTAAATTAAATTTATTTCATAGCGATTATGTAATTTAAGATTACATTTACTATATTTGGTTGGGCGGCGGGCCTTAGGGTTGCTGAGTCCGATTCCCCAGTCGAGCCTTGACCCTATTACGCGAGATGTTATACTAGATGGACTGTATACGCGGTAAGCTTCTTCTGCCTCAACAAGATGGCGGATGTGGCGCGCGGTTCCTAGACAATGCACTCGCTCTTCCGAAATCTATTGTGTGCCAGGGTTATGAAGGAATCCTGCTTGAACAAATTAGGAGGAATGAAAATGGGGCGGGTTAGCTAACAAACAAATACTCAAGCAGGCTTTGAATTATAGGAAAAAAACACACTTACCGGGGTGTGACTTCGATGCGGCTTGGGCGCTTCTGTTGCTGTGGTGCGACTTCTGGTGGATCTCCTGGGGCACCCCAGGGATGCGGTCGTGGCCGGTGGTGCGATGGAAGAGAGCGCACGTGGGCCGTGCGCGAGCTTATATTGCTTCGGCCCTCCTATCAATGCATCTCGGTCGGGCGCGCTTCTCATTGGTTGCAAGAATCACGCAACATTCTAGAATCTCTTCTTTCCCCTCTCACCCCCCCCCCCAGTGTGTACGGAAGGGATAGGTCGAAGGAAGTACACTTGGCACAATATACCCTCGAATAAAATTAAAATACACTAATCGTTTTCCGCGCAACCAATATAATTATTATATTGATATTAAAGGTTGATAGAAATTTAATTTTTAGCTATATGTTTTGTATATATTTTATTATACTTTACGTATTAGTACTTTATTTACTAGCGTATATCATTTAAACTAAAACTAATGAATCACTTAAAATGAAGAGGTAGTAAGTGGGTACCTATCTATAAAAATATTTTAAGTACGTATTAATATGTGATACGACATCAATACTGCACAGTGCATACACCTTGCGTTCCATGCCGCGCGCTTGGCCGTTTGAATTCACTGTTTAAGTTAAAATAATAAAAATCGAATTACCTCATCTCTCGGCAGTTTTTTTTTTGCCAGAATTAGTGGAGAGTTTTTGAACTGTTATTTACTGCTTACAGATGGACTATGGAGTGTAGAAGTAAGGAGTACAGACTGTGTATTAAAAAGTGTCCATAAAAACTTTTAAATAAGGGTGGCGCCACTATAGCTACGGGGTAAATTTTAAAGAATGCACCGAAAAATATTAGTGGGATAGACGACTTTTTCGAGGTTATATTTACTGAATAAAAGATTTTAGAGCTACTAATCAGTTTAGCAGCACACTTAAACTGGCGACAACTGCTAAGTTCATTTCATCCCAGTAGCTACTCCAGCGCTGTTGTGGAGAGTTTTTGAGCTGTTATTTACTGATTACAGATGATCACTTTTCAACTATTCTACTATGGGAGTTGGTACTCCTTACTTCTACACTCCATTAGATGGACACATTTTCAACTATTCTCCTGTGGGAGATTGTCCCCCTTACGTTTATACTCCACGGTTTTAGAAATATTATGTCACCCCAAACCCATAGTCCACAGTATTACTTGAAATAGTTTCATAGAATAGTAAATATTATATTAGTCGATATTACATTTATAATACTAATTTAAATTTTAAAAACTAACGTCTTTAGGAGGTTTTTATTAAGATAAAATATTAAAGTCAAATTTTGTACAATTTGTCATTATAACGTTGATCTTATTTTTTTTAAATATTTTAATTCTTAAAATGTTCTAATAAAACTGAATGCAGCATGAGCATTCTCAAGAGACCATGATGAGAAAGCGATATGCGTGAACTGAAAGTTAAAAAGAGACACTGTTTCTGAGAACAATTAGTTTTATTTATTCTATGTATTCATTGGACAACAGAAAAAGAGGGTGGCGCATGCGCGTTGTGCCGACGCCATCTCTAAACTGCTGTGCATAATACTTGTTGAAAGATTTCAACGATATAAATCAAACTTGGTCTTTAGGAATTTGTAATAAAAAGTGTTTAAAATCATGGAATTAGTTTGCCGCTAGTGAGTTTAAGTGTTCGATTAGTGTGATTGACGTTCGTGTAGTCGAGTCCAGCATCAACGGCGGTCCGAATCTTGCGGAAGTTTCTTAGTTTAGCAACGCATATTTTTTGTCGGCTGCATCGCCACTATTGCCTCAAATCGCGCAGTTATTTCATGAAATTCTGACGCCGAAATAGTTACTGGTAACTTTTCAAAGATAAATCATAGCTCGTAATCACCTTAGTTAATAGAAAGTAGCGGTAAAGGCGGGCTATGTCGTGTTCGCGTTCTTACCCGCGTACGCCTATACATAGACACAGGTTGTGTTATGTATGAATTATTGTTTTGGGTCAAAGACATCCGAGAGTGTTAACGTCTAAAATAACAGTGTCGTTAACGCATTACCTTTATGTTTCAGTGTGAACCCCTGAAAATCGCATCAAGTTTTGTCGTCGTTTGATATGAATTCTGCTTTAAAGCCGGTGCTGCCCCAGCCGGGGGTCCCGCAGCCGGGCGGTCAGGCGAGTCCCGCGAAGGGCAACGTGGCTAACGCCAACCACGCTGTCGGACTCCCCCAGGGTGCTCAAAATTCTCTACATCACGGATCCAATAATTTAGTGGGACAGAACCTGACGCATCACGTGAATCCACCTCAATTACCTCCTCACCCAGTGCCCTCCATGGCGCCAGTGACAGCCAACATGGCACAAATGGCACAGAACATGAGTCACCATGGAAACCTATCACATGTCACTCAGAACTCAGTTCCACCACCAAGCCCCAGCAAAAGTGCTACAACTGGTGCTCCGCTGAGCTTAGTACAAGATAAAGCAAACACATCTCAACCCTTAGCTTTGACAAGAACACCTGAGAAGAAAGAGCCTGACTCCAGCAGTCATGCAAACGGTACAATTGAATCATCAAAACCGGGGTCAAACACACCCACAGCATTGAAACCCCAAAATCCTGAAAGTAATAAGGATAAGCAAGATATTGCAAAAACATCACCTAGTACCCCGAAACCTCCTGAGAAATCAACTGAGAAACCGGAAAGTACTCAGAGCACTCCTCAGAAAAATGATGGATTAAGTCCTGTAAATCAAACAGAAAGCCCTGTTCAACCTAAAGTGTGTATGGCTAATGAAGCCCCAGAGAAGTCTCCTTGCAAACCAACAGAACTCAAACCAGCCTCGCTGGCTGATATTGCTCCTACACAAAACGACAACAAACCTGTACTTGAGGCAGCTAATGATAGTCAAGAAAAAGTGTCTACTTCAACTCCTCAGGTACAGGAGCAGCCTGTATCTGAGAGCACTAAACCAGATTCACCTTCAAAATTAGAAGATAAAAAGGAAGAGCCAAGTGAAAAACCACCACTAGTAGAAGAAAAAATAGAGGAAGTCAAAGAAAATGTTGAATCTTCTGAAAAGGAGGAACAAATGGAGAAAATACAAAAGCAAGAAGAGAAAGTGGAAGAAAACAAACCCGATGTTAAAATACATGTTAAACCTGAACCTAAGTCTACTCCAAAGTCTACATTGAAACTGGCAACGGTGACTCCTCCAATGAGAAAGAGAAGGCAGCTATCACCGACAAAAGTTAATGATGGTACTACACCAGCTAAGAAAACTTCTGATGCTGATTCCACACCAGACACAAGAATCAAGCGAAACAGGACCAAGGTGAGAATTAGTTAAATCTAAATTTATTTTGAGAAAATGTCCTTTAATTGACCCTAAATCGGACTTCATCACAATCACAAGTATTTTAGGCATTAAAACTTGGTGATATATTTTAGAAAAACCTGATCATTGGTCCCACTAAAAATATAAAAATTAAAAAAGGGCTAAGTTCAATACAAACATTTCAGGGCGACAACCCCACAAACTCCACATGCTTCACTGATAAAAGAGGTGTTTGTGCTTCACTGTATGTTTTTCAAATTCAAACTGTGAGAATTAAATGCTAACAAAGTTATTGCTGTTGCTAGTTTCAATTCTCTGGACCTTAGGCCACTAATAGCTTATTGCACTAGTAAATTTTTCAACACAAATCAATAATTGCTACTTTTCAGATTTTCCCTTTGTATCTTGTCCTATGTTATATATATGTCCTAAGGATTTATTAGAAATGTAAAATTACAATGTAAGTTTTATAGTTTTTGAGTTATGAGTTGAAAGTAGGTAGCTTTAATTTGTTTGTGTAAATCTACACACTGGATCACCTTGTAAAACATAAGTCAGATTACCGCAGGTTAACTGTACTTGTTAATTCTTCTAAGTCATTATTCCCATTAAAATTTTCTACTGAATTCAATAGACTTTGTTAATGTTCATTATAAAATGAGTATAAGATCCAATGGTGTAAGTTTCTTGTCAAGAGTACACTTGACTGCTCTACATGGGTACAGAGTTTTAGAAGCAAGAGCTAAATTTGGTTAAAATTAAGTTGTTTACTTTTGGGATTTAAGTGTAAAGTGACTGTCCTTATTTTACTGAATCCTTCCAATTAAGATTGGTAAATAATAATTAAGATCATGTAGTGGCGGTGTTGGAAAATATCCACCACTACACTATATCATGAGCAGCATCTTCGTAATAATGTCTAGAAATAAAAAACTACAATTGCCATCCTACTTGCCAAGCACGGTAACTATGGGAAATACTCCTCCTATGAGACTATGGGGGAGGCCTTTGTTCAGCAGTGAACTTTAATAGGCTGTAATGATAACGGTAAGTCAGGTTAAGATAATGCCTTTGTTTGTACACACATTCCTGGCTCTACATGCTTTGAAAACAACCACTGAAACATGTGCATACAGAAAACTCATCATTGGCCCCGAAAAAAAGCAAATGGTATTTTTACACAACTGCCTCAGAAGTGTAATGTTTTGAATGTATGTCAATATCTTTGGCAGGTTCGTAAACTAAACAGCTTGATGGATTTTTGTATATTATTTTAGGGTGTTAGATTTGTCTTGGTTGTGGAACTGACTTGGGGTATAATATTTGAATTTGGCCCTTTCCAGTAAACAATTTTACAAATTCCAGTTTTTTAATTACAGTTTTAGCCATTGTGTTAGTTCTTAAAAGGAATTAATGAAAATATGGTTCATTTTATTTGCCTTTTATATTAATTTCAGGTGCAACTTTACCAGTCGCCCACTCCGGAGATTGCAATGGCGACTAAGCTCTCTGCATCAGCTGGCCGCTCAACCCCAACCAAACCCAATGATGACAAGCTAATAGTGTTCTACAAGTAAGTCAACTAAGTGTAGTGTCTGTATCTGTTAGTATTCAATTATAACTGCCCTTCTAAGCTTAAGTAAAGAGTATAAAGGTCACAGCATCCACTTTGCATTTAGTGGTCTGTGTGTAGTTTGTCACTTCTGTTTTCTTTCAATAAAAAATTATCACATAGTTACTCCTCTCCCATGTACCCATTGAAGACTGATAAATATTTTTTTTTCTGTTATTGTATTCATCATCATCATCATTACAGCCCTTCACAAGTACACTACTGAACATATGCCTCCCCCAAGGAATGCCATAAAGCATGTTCCTGAGCCACCATTGATTTCCTGCATGTCTTACCAGGTCGTCACTCCATCTAGTGGGGGGCGTCCTACATTTCGCCTACCGGTACGAGGCTACCACATGAGAACCTTTTTTCCTCATAATTGTTAGTTTTTCTCTCTTTGATTCTATTGGATCCTTAAGAATGAAACTCTAACAAATGTTCTCCATACAGGACTAGTTATTACTACACTATTATTTTATGTTTTTGATATTTATGAAAATTTGGAAAAGGTCAAATTTTAATAAAATATTCTAGCTTTGACTTTAAAAAATTTATATGTGCTAGGTAGTGAAGGAAAACATTTTAAGGAACCAGCATGTTTGAGAAATGCAAAAGAAATATTTCAAAGACGTAAAGTCCTTCAACATGCACATAGAGCATAATATCGGCTGTAACTAGTTTTTGAAGTTTACTCCTTAAGAATTGATTTTCATAAATAGTCCGCAGTACACATTAGATGGGGAGCAATGTCGAGTGTTCTTCTTCTTTCTTTTTACAGCGGATCATTCAAGTGGATCATGTCAGCGTGAAAGTGTTTATTGATTAGAATAGCTCAGCAGAAACAAAAACTATACCCATGTACAAAAGAAGATCGTGATAATACAAGTATCATGTGTAGTGTTAATAAAAAGTGAAGCCGTTATGTTGCCCCTCCACGCAACACTAATACATCTTAAATTGAATGCGTGTAAAGTAATAGCGCCATCTACTTCACTCTAATATGCCATTTTATCAAACAAATTGTTTGCTTTGACGTTTAGATGGCCTAAACGCGATTAATATATATATATATACATATATATATATATATATATAAAAATATATATATATATATATATATATATATACCCTAAGGAGTAAACTCCAACTCCACTCCAAGCATACAACTGCAAGACTTCATGATACTATAAGTTCATTCTGCCTAGATTGGACAAAAAATTTATAATTTTAATCTGATGGTAACCATGGTTGTGATGTCAAACACCTCAGACTCTCCTCGTGACATGATAAAATCCATCAAAACTAGTTTTATTTAAGTGTGTAGTGTTCACGTAAACATTAGAAATCATTCTAAATGCTCACTGTTTCTCAAAGACAAGAGTGATGAGGTTGATATTACCAACAGGAACGAGTACTTAGCAGTGCGTAACGCAGAGGGCGGGTTCTACGTGTGCCAGACCGTACAGAATGTGTACCGCACCACACGCAAGATCAAGATCCGCTGGCTCTCCCAGGATAAGAACGACCCAACCGGTGAAACATACAAGCCTGACTTCTACGATGTCACTGGTAATTCTAATAGTTAATTTTCAACTGACTTCAAAAATAAAAGGAGAAAGTTCTCTATTCAACTGTATTTTTTTGATGTGTGCTAGCTACCTCAGAACTTTTTTCTAGGTAAACTTATTTTGAATATTCTTTTTTTTTATTTGAAAACTGGGGCTTCTCGTGTTGTCTCATATGAATTTGATTAAGATCTGACCAGTTGTTTTTGAGTTATCCTTAATAATGCGTCTAATCGACTTCGACTACATTTATGATATTTTCATTTCATTTATATTGAAATTGGTTGTACAACGTTTTTAATTTTACCACTTGTCTTTAGTTGTACTTTGCCTTTTTATATGTATAATCAAGAGCTGAAGAGACTATTGCAAGAAACAACAATTACTAGCATGTATAATTCAAAAGATTTACAAAATTTAAGAGCATGCTAGAACAAAGCCATAGCTTAAATATTTTCTAATATTCCATGGTATTTTTTACCGAGAAGGATAAGCATAGTAACTTTTTTCCTGGCTTTATTTGAAATTTGCTATACGAAATATGCAAAAAATGTGCAATTTTGTAA